TACGTTTTTATTTAAAAAAATATTAAAACATTATAAGAAACTACAAATTGTTCTGAGTTGACATGACATTATTAGATCAATAGGCTTGATTATAAACAAACAATGCACAACGCGATGCGATGCGATGCAATGCGCAATGTTCTGTGTACATAGAGGAGTAGCCGGCAAGGGGAAGCGGGGGGGGAAGTCAAAGTAATAATGTTGTGTTACGTTGTGCACGACGCCGGAGCACTGGCGGTCAGGGATGTAGTAGGGGCCCAGCATCTTGTCCGGCTCACTGAATCCGTAGCCTGCAACAACAAGCGAGCCTCACCGCATGCCCAACATAACCTCTCCCTTGCAATATACTTAAACTGTTACGGCCTCCTAAATCAAAAACGTTCGTAAATTAAATGGGTCACATTCGTTATCCCATATTGTATTGCATCGTATGAGTTTGCATATGACAAAATAAACATTCCAAACAAAAACAATCTTAGTTTCTGTGGTTTTATATTTTTTTTTTACTTATCATATTTTTATAAGTTATTAGCAATTTGTACCGCAGCACTGTCAAAGTAAAATGTGAATCTGGCGCTTGCCTTTGAGTGCCGATGACTTGAAGATCATGGCCTGCCCCGAGACCGGCCCCGCGACCCACCCGGCGACCAGCATCACTACGAGCGACGCTGCGACCGGCGCGGCGAGCGGCGCGGCGAGCGGCGCGGCGAGCATGTTGGTGGCGACGAGTGAGGGCGCGCGCTTGCGGGCTGGGTATATACCGCACCGGAACATTGGCGTGTTACAAGCTTACCTAATTAACAATAAGCGTAGCAGATGATCGCGCGTTACGTTTAATTACTTAAGTTTTATTACAATCATTAAGAATAAATACTATTTTAAATCGCAGCGTTTACGACACCAACAAAGAGTTTTATTATTTGTTAATATTTGTGCAAAATAATATGGGCATACTTCAACGCATAATAATAATTGCTTAGTTTTTCCCAAAATTTAATATAAGAAACATTTCTCGTCATGATGACGAGGTGGAGATCAAGAGGTGGTTCACCCACCCACCACCTAAAATACAGAAAAATGCAAACAAACACAAACAAATCATTGATTAAAACATTATTATGTCTCCTACTAGTACTACTACATAACTCATACATAATTAATTGAACAATGTCCAATGTTAAACAACTATTATTTAACAGATATAAATAATCTGACCAGAACACACTTATGTAAATACCAGTGTTAATAGCGTGGAGCTAACTTACTTCAAATAGAATATAACAAAAACAGTAAAAATGAATCACTTAAGTATAGTTGAGTTGACTCACTTTACTATTTTCGTGACTATGATCATATAATAATATTTTTATTAAATATAAGATGTATGATGAATGCATCTCGCATTGAGACCAGCTCATCACATCACACCGGTATGACATAACAATCAACAATGACCCAAACAAGATATATCTCAGCACATTTCGCTGCGGAGGTTGCTGCGCTGTCTCGCGCCATTTATTACATTTTATATCAGGCTATTTATTTTACTAACACTTATATATAATACATAACAACAAAACATATTAAACTCACAAAAAAATCACATAAACCTCACATATTTTAAAATTAACTTTCATCCCCTTTTGTTATTTTGCATCTTGAAGGTTAAATTGTACAAACATTGAATGTTATATATTTTTTTATATATATAAATAATCTTAATGATAAAAAATAAGTTTCAAGCTTCTACCTTAAAAAAAGACGATATTCCCATACTAATGTCCACCCCCACTTTCAACCCCTTACAGCCTTTTAGCATTTAAGAACTTCGGTCAATCATAATATTTACCGGGAAAACTTAAGATTTACCAAGTTATCGCAGTTGAGGTAAAAGTCTTAGAAATTATGTGATCTTTGTTTATTGCAAGTGTACTAGTTAATAATTACTATCATACATCCATTACATCACAAGATTATATTATATAGATATATTATAATTTTATGTTTCAGTTAACTCGCTTTTAAAATAAAGAAAATTAAATGGTTTTAATTTCTTTTTTGCACAAGGCAATGTAAATTGTCGAAACTAATGTTGTATTTTTTTTATAACATAAGGTGGCAAACGAGCGAGCGGCTACCTGAAATCGCTGAAATAGCGAAGTGACCGTTGTCCATAGACATACGCAATTGCATATGTGTTGCCTACCTTTAATCGACGGAGGAGAGATTGCACTGAAAGAAAATATTATCCTTTTCCATGCATCCTCTCATCCGGAAAGTCCACTTCCACTTCCCATCATTTCCTTATAAGAAAAAGGGTCGGAAGAGAAAGAGGACTAAATAAGGCCTCCGGGACGCACACTAATCAGATTCCTCTTCACGCCTGTCTTTTGTGTGGTCGTATTATTTCACCGGGCGAGCCAGGCCAATTTGTGCCATGACGTTAAAGCGGGCTCTACTACTGTTAAAGATAAGTATAGAATAATCAATAATTATAAATTGTTAATAACTTCTTAAATACCTTAATTGGCTGGTTATCGATCTCAGACATGCATTTGAATTTAGAAGAAGCCAATACTAGAGAAATGTCACGTGAATGGAGGTAAATACATCTAATAAACTATGATCTCATACCTTTACGCACCTCTAGCTTTTATCGGTGAGATAAAGATGTTACCGGACTACGTGCTTTTAGAATAACACTATCTGTCACACGCGACTCTGTCCGCGTGGCATTAAAAAGAACTTGTTGTAGTGTCGCTCTGCACCAAGTATTAGTGTCGAAGCTACTGAGCAGAAGAACCAAGATACGGATATCCAAAACGGTAATAACACCGATCTTGATACACGGCTGCAAAACCTGGACACTGACCCTTAAATAGGAGGAAATGCTTCTGGTGGCGGAAATAAAAATTATGCGTAAGATCCTGGATCCAACGCAAAGAGAAGACAGCAGCTGGGGAACCCGGTACAACGTGGATATTGTGACGCTGATGGGTGAGCCGAACATTATCGGAGAAGCAATAGCTCACAGACTCCGATGGCTGGGCCACCTCATGATGTTGCGGGAAAATCGAAAGGCCTAAGCAGAATATCTCGAGATCCCAACTGACCGCTAACCAATTGGTTGGCCCAGGTACCGCTGGCGAGACGCCGTAGAGCTGGATCTGGGGGAGCTACAAGCGATGGACTGACAGGAGTAGGCGCAAGACAGGCGACTTTGGCGATCTCTTGTGTCGGTGGCCAAGACCCACTTTGGGTCGATGCGCCAGCGGAGTAAGTAAGTAGCCTATGTGTTCTTACAGACTATGTTTAAATATCTATGCCAAATTCTATGGTGATACGTTCAGTCGTTCTGGAGATACCTTCAAAAAAAAAATCATCCATCCATTCATCTTTCCATCCGTCTATCCATCCATCCAAACATTCGCATTTATAATATTAGTAAGATATACACATAAAATGAACATACGATGAGTTCAACTTTTATAATTAAATTTTATTTAAGATAACAAACAAACAATTGAATAGTGTTTTATATCATTTTATTGCGGAATAAAAAGATGATGGGTTTCGTGTCCGTGACGCTACATGGGCGGCAGCGCGCTGTCGAGACCGGACGGCGCTCCGGACAGCGACACTTCGTCGGAGGAGTGCAGGCCGCAGCCCAGCACTGCGCGCACCGCGGCGCGCCCGGGACAGGTGCTCACTAGGTTCGGCGAGCGCTCGATGCTCACCGAGCTCAGCGAGTCGTCGATGGTGACCTTGACGTGCGCGTAGTCTGTCACACTCACCTTGACCAGCTCCAGGCGCTCGCAGTGCTGCGTCAGCTGCGGACAGAGGACGTGACGCCGTCAGAAACGGGACGCCCGGCGAGAGCGCGGCCGTCGCCGGATCGGACGGTATACTCACATTGTACAGGACACCGGAGCACTGGTTATTCGGGATAAAAAATGGTCCCAACTGCTTGTTCTCCGTACCGCAGGAAGCACCTGAAAAAAGAAACGCCTATAGTGAAGTATATATACCAATAAGAAAAACGTGTCGTCTGAAAAACTAACCCTTGACGACCTCCGTCTTGTACTGAAAGAGGTTGAGGGCGGCGGCGGACGCGGCGAGCAACACCAGGGTGACCAGCACGGTCAGCAGAGCACTCATCCTGTGGCGCGCGGTGTCTCCGCTCCTTCGACTGAGTGTGCCGGAGTCGCGGACCGCCTTATATTAGCGCGCTCTACCACACTATAATATCATTTGTTTTACTATTGTTATCGTTCCGCTCCTCATAAGTAGTTAATATTCAAACTCGTCGCAATTACATTAACATGAAGCGTGACAGGATCGGAGCCGCTTCGCGCCGCCTGCGCTGTCGTACTGCACCGGTACACCGGTAATGCCCACACGTCACATGTCTGTAACCCTTCAAAGTGACTATTAAATTACTTGAAATTATGAATATGAAAAATATAGGTGTGCAGCTATACTACGCAGGAGGCTATATTATATAATAGTTTCCGCAACTCTATTTTGCGTGACTACGTACGTACTAATAGAAACGGCAAGTCTGCTTCTCAAATGTGAGAGTACATAACCAATATATGTAATATATTTTATACATATTTGAATGCTCGCAGCCAGAAAAATGTATATCATAACCAATTACAGGTAAAACGGGCGTTTACAGACATATTTAGAATAGCATCATTTATACAAATTATCATTCGAAAGAATCTTACTAAAACTATGTTATAGAGATTTGACTTTTGACATTACGAAATGAAAACGTCGTATGCGCTATATATATATCAGTGCGGCGCGTGTCGGGGCCGAGGCGGGACGGATCGCCGCTGCTCCCTGCTCAATATAAATGTACGCTCCGCACAGAGCTGTAACCTCGCTCGCGCTCGAGCATTGCAGCGGGAGCGACGCGGAGGTCACACCGTGGCAGGCCGCGAGCGGCGCGGCAATAGAGGTACTGCAAGCGGTATTCGCCTGGCTGAGCGGCGGCGAGTTGTGGACGGCGGTACGCGTGTGCCGCGGCTGGCGCGCCGCCGCCGATTCGTGGGTGTGGCGGCGGGCGCTGTTGCCGCACGCTGCGCCTGCGCAGCTCGCCGCCCTGCGCCGCGCCCGCGCCGCCGCTGCGCTTAGCTCTGCTGACAACGCCACCGGCAAGTGACGATCTGATGATTAAATATTCTGCAACATCATGTGCCCACCCTGTTCTCATGCCAATAATATCGAGCATCATTTAAATGAATAATTGTAGAATAATAAAGATGAAGTTAAAATAAAAGTTCTGCGGTAGGTGAGTCGTGGGAGGCGTGGTCGTGGCGGCGCGAATACTGTCTGTCGGCGGCGCGCTGGCGGCTGGCGGAGCGCACGCTGGCCGCGGGGGGCGCTGAAGTCACCCACGCCGCGCTCAGCCACGTCGGGAATCGGCTCGCGCTCGCTGCAGACGACGCCTCGCTTACGGTAAAACGGATTATATTATACAATGAGAATTTAGTTTTCCCCATATTCTGCTACCACACTCGAGGCATCACATAACACTCGAGTTTTTAAAAATACACTATTGTTGTTGCTAGATATACTATATTTAATGTTTGATATCAAAATATTGAAAGTGTTTTGGAAAAGTTAAAAAATTTCCTTGGCCTTGACTTTTGGAACGACGTGCTATCCTATTAGCAATACTTACGATATGAGAAGTAATTCTTGTGTCGTGCGGTGTCGGGGCTGGCATGTGCGTGGGCACGTGGCTGTGCAGGTGTGGGCGCGCGCGGAAGGCTGCGCACAATGGTCGCCATGCTGGCGGCGCAGCGAGCGCGCTCGCGGCTGGGCGGCGGCTCTGACGGTGCGGTGGGCGCCGGACGACGCGCGCCTTCTGATAGCCGGGCCACTCGTGCTTGCCGACCGCTGGGAGCTGCTTGTCTTGAGGTTCGATGGTCAGTATTTATACATTCGATCATATAATAAAATAATACGGTGAAAATCATTCATCCATTATAATTGCGTATAGAAGTAGTACTTATTTTAGATTTTAGAGAAAATCAATAAGCAATTTACGACAATATCATAAATTTCAGAGAACGGCATGGGGCGCGCGGAGGTACGGACGGAATGCGGCGCGGGCGGCGGCTGCTGGGCCGGGCCCGCCGCCTTCTTGTCGCTGTCGCTGGGACTCCTGGCGCCCGCGCGCGCCGTCACCACAGTGTGGCTTAATGCCGCCGACCAGGTGCCTTTCGGCGCGGTCCCTCGTCCATTTCTCCTCAGCTCATGACTCATGAAATGGGTGTGTCCACAGGGCGTGCAGTCGGAGTTCGCGGGCGTGAGGTCGCCTGTGCTGCGCGTCTACAACGAGGCCGCCGCACACATAACGTGAGGCTGGCTCTACGCCGTTCCGCGTCAACAACACATCCACTCCGTGACCTTCGCTTTACCTATTGACAGTTATTAAATGCGGATATTTTTTATTAAAACCATCAAGGAGTAGAATAACGTAACAAGCGTCTATTAAGTCAATACTTTTATAGAGTGCACATTTACTTATCGATGCGAGCTTAATCATAATCCATCAATAATAAACAGAGTCAAGCACATCGTTTGATAAAGTTACAATGCAAGTTTCGTTTTTTTTTTATTTTATATCGTTTCAGACATATGCTCGTTGCCGAGGTTCCAGCGCATGAGCTAGAAGATCTAGAGTGCCGGGATTCCGAGAAGCGGCCCTTTGCCGAGCGCGCTGACAGCGAGATCGAGGACAGCGCTAGCTGCCCGCGGCCCGGCTACTGGCGCGCCACGCTACCGGTGCGCCGAGTGCCAAGTCGTTACGATTTATGCAGAGGACTGCAATTTCATTAATATGACCAAGTGATACTAGTGTTTTTTTGTCAATCTCATTTAGATTCGTGCAGAGCATTATGAGCGAATTGTGTTGGCGGCCATGGGCGCAAAAGACGGGGTGCGCGGCGCGGCGTGCGCGCTGGCCCTGTGGGCGCTGCGCACGCGTTCGCCTCCGCCGTTGCTCGCGACCGCATCCTTGGCGGAACGCGTGCAGGCGCGTCGCGAGGCCCGGCTGGCGGCCCGCGCGCCCCCAGCACCCGACGCACCCCCTGCGCCCGTCGCACCCCCTGCGCCCCCCGCGCCCCCCGCGCCGCAGCCCAGCGAGCACGAGCTGCGCGCTCTCTGCACGCCGCCGCTTGCCACATGCCGCCTGCCTTCTGCTATATTGGGCGTAGAAATACATGCAAAGTCAGTTTCGAATGTCATGTCACGTACTTTTTGTGTACCTCATGTTTTTCTTTTCATTTTTTTTTATATCAAAAGGTGGCAAACGAGCGAGCGGCCACCTGAAATCGCTGAAATAGCGCAGTGACCGTTGCCCATAAACATACGCAATTACATATGCGTTGCCTACCTTTAATCGACGGAGGAGATGATGCACAGAAATAAAATATCTTCCCTTTCCATGAATCCTCTCATCCGGAAAGTCCACTTCCACTTCCATCCTTTCCTTATAAAGAAAAGGATGGGAAGGGAAAGGGGACTAAATTAGGCCTCCGGGACGCACACTCATCAGACTACGTGGAATTGCTTCCACTTGACGCCTGTCTTCTGTGTGGTCGTGATATTTCACCGGGCGAGCCGGGCAAATTCGTGCGAAAATGTTAAAGCGGGCTCTACCACTTTTAAAAGTTATAAAGTGGACATCTCAAGTGGACAAATGTCTAATTTCTATATCATTTTTATGCAATTTCGAGTTGAAAATTATAATATATATTGGCAAACTCTAAGAAAGGCCATGGGTCTTAAGGTTTCAGTTCTATAAAGAAATATAACTCCGTTTCTCTACAAATAAATTGCTATAACGCACAGCTTCTAGTAGTACTAATATAAAGTGAGGGTTGTGCAGCGGCGGGTGCGTGTGGGCGGTGTGCGGGGAGAGCGCGCACTGCGCCTCGCTGCCCGCGCTGCGCCTGCTGCTGCGCGTGCCGCTCGCCGCGCACCGAGCGCCGCCCGCGCCCCTCTCACACCCCGCGCTCTACCTGGTGCAGCCCGCGCTCTGCGACGATATTCTAGTCACGTGAGCAACGCATGACATACATATATCATACTACGATTGTTTTAGATTGTAGTCCGACAAGGAATGGATTGAACTGAACGAGCTCACTGATGCCGATTAGTGTTTATATTAGATCTGTCGTATGTCAGCGCCGATTTTCAGAGCTACTTTCCTGCTGTATTTGCAAAATGTAAACCAGGCATTTCTAAACCGGGCACCGCACCGCACAAATCAGTCTGTGTCTTCTTTGTGATCGTGGTATTAATGCTAATGCTTCTGCGAATAATGCTTGAGCGAATTGTACGTCTGTTTCTATACAAATCGAGTTAAAGCATAGTGAGTTGGATGTGCGCGGTCTATGGTGCACATAGAACGGGGCGCGGACAGTGGGGCTGAGGCAGTGTTGCGCGCAGGCCGGAGGGGCGGGGGTCGGGCGCGGTGCGCGTGGTGGCGGCGCGGTCGGGCGCGCGCGGCACCGCTCTGCTCCACGCCGCGCCGCCGGTCGCCGCGCTGCTGCCCGCGCGCCCTACACATCTACTGGTGCTCGCCGGTCAACATCTTTATGTAATCTTTCCCTTTTTGTTTTACTTCCAGAGCCATTATACAGTTTTACAATACAGAAAGTCATTACATGGTTTTTGTTTTTTTTTTTTTAATTTTTTTAGAAATCTCTGGATTGCCAAATATAACAGATAGCAAAGGTAGACTCGAGTCAATACGGCGCGAGCGCCCGTCGTGGTAGGACTTGCGCCTATTTTCCCGCCAATCGAAATTCAAGCTCTCGCTTCGTTATCGCGTCAATCGTGGTCGAACACAGTGTTAATGTGTAAAAAATACACAACAAAATAGACGAATTAATAACCTCCTCCTTTTTTTTGAAGTCGGCTAAAACGGCAATGTCACAATTTAAAGATTTAGTTTTGAAAATTCTAGATGGCGCTACAGTGCATAAATTCATACAAGCGTTTTGTTCTGGTGCAATGTGATAAATAAATAATAATATATAATATATAATATATATTAATAAAATAATTATTAAGACTATTTTATACAATTTTCCTTAAACTTGAGCATCGAAATTTTAATGGATTTTGTGTCAGGTAGGACAATTTTTTTTTTTTGTATATACGTTCGTAGATGACTGTCGATTAAGTATGTTCGTTCGCGTTCGTAGTAACAGAGAGTTGTTCCATATTTAGGTGTGGAGGTGCCCAATGTTAGAGCACGAGAATACAAAATGCTGACTGAAATTGGCCAAGCTCTTTAGTGCAACAAAATGTAAAACAAGAAAATTTAAATTGTTTATTCGCGTGGCCATCGAGATCCGTGCCGTTCGGGGCGCACGGGGCGGTCGCAGCACACACCGCACACACACCGCCATGGCGTCGCGCTCGACCGGCGTGAGGGGTATCGCACGGTTTTTAATTGCTGTAAGCCTTTTTTTTTACGCTTTTAAATAATACTTTCACATTCTAAAAAAAAAATTTGTGTTTGTTAAGCTTTAAATACTTTTTGACTTACCTCTTTTGCCCCGTTAATTGATTGCAGTCCATGGAGGGACGGGGCGATGCGAGGGCGATGCGTCGAAGTTCGAACAACGCAGCGGCGCCGGCGGGGCCGTCTAGGCCGTCGCGCACAGCCTGCCGCGACGGCCAGGCGCCGGAGTGCGAGCCTTGCCAAGCGCCCGCACAGCCCGCCTGCCGCACGCCGACGCGCGCCGCTCTGCGCGGGCTGCGCGTGGCCTGCCGTCCGCCGCCGCACGCCGCGCGCCCGCCCTGCGCCGCGCCAGAGCCGCCGTGTCCTCTCACATGTCAACGAAACGCGGACGTATGTGACGACATTCATTTGAACTTTACTTTGTAATGATGGCCTTCATCGATGGCTACGAACTAAGATGGTCGTGTTTACGGACAACAGTAGAAGTTTCATTTCGCTTTGAAGTTATTCGGGTGTGTCCATAGCTAAAACTTAATATATTCTTTCGTTAATAATACACACACCTAGTGATGCCGACGAGTAAACTAGT